ACCCAGCAGTCACTAATGATGAGAAGCGGCACATTGGAATAAAAACTTAAACCGTTTTTGCAATCTTTCAAAAATGTCAACAGATGAAACTATATTTAAAGAATCATTTTTTTCTCGTTTTCACAAATTCCTTGTGATGTCTTGTTGGCATTTCTTGGATGATTCAAGTGGACTTCTAATTCAACGGGCCTTTCAGTGTTGGTTCTCTCAGACATGGACTAAGTCCTGACATGCCTGATGTGCACTGCCATCCAGTCCTGGAGACCAAAGCCTCCCAAACCATCCCCGGTAATGGCTGAGACTCAGACTCACTCTGTGTCCCTCAGCAGCCCCCTACACACCCCTTTTAGCTCATCTGTACCTGAGCCATGTGCTCACTAGCTGCTCAGGGTGCCTGCCCAGCCAGAATGGGCTGCAGTTGGCCCTCTGGTTGGCCTGAGCATCTCCAGAGAGAAGCCCACACACAAGGCCTTGTGGATTTGACGTTGGTCATCATACTTCATCTGTAGGGATCACACTGGAAGGGACTAGGCTTCCAGGCTGAGAGCTGTAGATACTTTGTTATTCCTAGTGACAAACTGCTAATGTTCTGAAGGAATGGTTGGGGCGTTTATGTCCTCAGTCAGCATGCCCAGGTAGCCTCGCCACTGTGGGGTTATATGGGTTATCTACTGTGGCTCAAGGTCCATCACACACCTTCCTCCTGGTTTGTTTTTCTTGGTCTCACTCACCCTCAGCACGCTTCTGCAGGTCCCCCAGGAGCCAGCCTCCAAGCCCTGCCCTCTGGCCTTGCCTCTCAGGCCTTCCTCCCCTCTCCATGCACCTTCTCAGGCTTTGGTTTTTGACTTTACTTTCTTGTTGCCTTACTCTGCTGCTTACTTTCCTCTCCCATCAGCTCACCAAGCTGGGTACCCATCCCTCTTTCTATTTCACACCTGCTACTGATCGCATCCAAGCCCTGCTTTCCTTGCTACCGTCCATGGCATAACCCCCATGGCTCTCCCAAGTATGTCCAGCCAACTCAATGGACTCAGCTTCTTTTCATCCAGTCCCATATGGCTTGGCTTCTCCTCTTGTCCTATTCCTGCTAAGGGGGTCACTGCTTTCCCACCTAGACTTGAACCCTCTGATGGTGGAGTCTGGAGGTTTAACCTTTGGAATGCCCATCACATCTCTCCCCTATTTATATAGTTTCCCTAGTCTAAACTTTGACCCCCATCTATTTAACACAACGGACTCCCAGCTTGCTAACTTTGGCATTTAGTCTAACCTCTTGGTCAGACATTCAAAGCCCTGCATCGTCTGCATAGCCAGATTTTACTTACGGATTCTAAAGATATTCACTCCCAAACTTTATGCCTAAATAATCTAGGTGCTGGAAATATAGCCAGCGATGCAATAAATTATTACTGCGCACAGAAGTTGCATTCTAGAGAGGAGACACAAAAGACAGGCAGAAAAGCTAACACACACGCTGGAGAAGGGACTGTGAGGAGGAGGGCGGGGCACTCCAGGTAGCATGATCGCTGCGGGGGCAGGTGTGGGGACCTCTCATGTTTGTGGGAGGAGCATTCCAGATGCAGAAGGTTCAAAGCCCTAAAATGAGAGCTTGCTTATCTAGAGGGACACAGCCCAGAAACTGGAGTGACGAGTAGGTTCAACAGGAGCAAGTCATGTTATTATTAAACTAAGGAGAGCATAGGGCATCTGAATAAGGCAGGACTTCAGGATGGTTTGACTAGGAAAGTGACCTGCTTTGAAAGCACTACTTCAATGGCACAGAGAGACAGGGAGGTGGGTAGAAGCTGAGTGAATCAAGAGGCTACCCTAACAGTCTGAGCAGAGGTTAGAGAAGCTGTGGGGACAGAAGACCTGGGATGACCCTGGAACTGAGCAGGGAGATGGAGGAGCTGTCACATTTTGAAGGCAGTGCTGACATTTGCTGATGTGCTGGGTGAGAGCGTAAGAGAACGAGGAGAGTCAAAGACCATACAGAAGTAACTGAAACCCGTTACTGCTATTAACCAGGCCTGGAAGATGCCTGTGGGCAGAGAAGGAAGCACACAGGAAGGGGGAAGAGCTCGGCTTTGGCGTATTCAGGTTGAGGTGACAGGAGACACCCCAGCAAAGATGTTAAACTGTCAATGGGATATCTGAGTTCAACACTCAAAAATGAACACTCTAAATGAACTTGGAGACTCTGGTAGCGTGTGGCCGAGGCCAGCGGACTGCACCTGGGCCATTTGTATAGGTGGGAAGAACAAGAAAGGCTGGGGAAAGGCAGCTGTATGTGGGAGGGAATGGCTTACGTGCCAAGGGCAGCAAGGGCAGCAAGAGGAAGAGAGATGAATCTTAAAGCAATCATGTTGGCGTTTGTGGACTGGCCAGTGGAATGAATGACCCTGACACTGTGAGCACCGCCAAGTCTGTGGAAATAGGACTTTGTTTCTCATTGCACATGCGCATCTGTGTAACACGCTGCCAGCGGGCTGTTCATGTAAGTGCATCTGACCCCGTGCAGAGAGCTGTGGTGGCAGTGGCGACAGGCTCTAGGGAGATGGAGATTACTGTTTATTTTCTAGCCGATCTCCTCACAGCTGTGGCAACCCTCACTTGCTTTCTTACCCTCAATATGTATAGCTCTGCTGCCCATCCAAGCAGGCCTTGGCTACATCTCTCTTCTGACTCCATCCCCAGCAAATGTCACAGGCATTCTAGCTTCACCTAAACATGATATGGTCCAGAAACTTTATAGGCCTTTGGGGGTTCAAATAGGGTTTCTGCAGGCCTCACCTTGATGCTTATCAGAGCACGCTGTATTTGCACCTGACATCAACGCCACACAAGGATGCCCAGATGGAAAAGAGCAGAACTTCCATGGCAACTGGGCCGTTTCTTATTCTTTTAGATCCTGGAAGACATTCAATAGTAGCAGCAGGAACAGCCTCCTTCATTTGCTCTCCTGTTTGAAGACAAGGCTGGAGGCACGGACTTACCCAAAGGGAACCGGAATTTATTTTCAAAACCAAAATATCCCAATAGTTACCAAAGGATTGCTCTGTGAAAACATGAGAAAAATGGGTAGGATGGGTAAGGTGAGCCTCCTAGCTTATGATACGGTAAGTCCAATGAAACTGCACTAAAAAAATAAGGCACAGTTAAAAAAAAAAAGATGACCTCCTTTTCAACTCTCTACAAGTATATCACAAAAGGGGAGAACAGGGCACTACCTGCTCAGCAGTGTCCCTGAGTTCCTGCTCTCAGTGCAAAAGACAAACAACAGACAAGATGCTGCTGATGGGATTATGTGGGAGCTGCACTAGATACGACCTGAATACAGTCTTGTGAACAATGTGCTTAGTGTTTCAGTTACAGCGAGAGAACTAGAAACACACACACACACTCTCTCTCTCTCTCTCTCTCTCTCTCTCTCTCTCTCTCTCCTAGACTAACCCAAAAGGACATTTGAATTTTATTACTGCCAAGCTCTGTGACCCAGTATCACAGAGTACAGCCACGTCTGGAGGGGGAAAACCAAGGGAAGTGTCGTGTGCAGGCCTCCTTCCAAGGGAAGTGCCGTGTGCAGGCGTTCTTGCAGACATTTACACATTCCTGACTTTACAGAGAATCATAGTCGGACTAGAAAGGTTCCTTGTAATTAGGCCCAACCTTGAAATTTTATGAATGGAAAAATGAGGGAGAAGGTAGAGAGAACACAAAACTAGTAGGTGGCTCAGTCTGAATTTCTTTTTGGATCAAGCCTAGGGCTTTTCTCCATTATAGGCGTTTACTGCTTAGTTATCAATTTTCAAGACTTTATTGTTCTGAAGAAACTCTATACAATGCTCAAAATGTTCCAAATGTTATGTTTAAGGATAGCAAAATCCCACATACAAAAATGCATAGTCTTTACAGGACATTTACTACTAAATAGTCTAAAAGAAACCCATGAAGCATAACGTAAGAGAACACTCATTGGTAGACTGCTGGGATGGGGTAAATGCACAGAAATATATAAAGCACCTCCACCCTAGGTTTCAAAAATAAAAATGGTTCAAACAGCTACTGCCATGTCAATCAAGTCTCTCAGAGGGCAAAAGAGATCTTCCAAATCTTTAATCTTTAGAGTGCAACTAGTCAGATGAAGCATCCGAGGTGTGGCAGGCAGCAACAAGGGTCAGTGCGGCAGAAGGGAGACAGGAAAGACACACTGTTATTTCACACCAGTAGTTTTATTACATTACACACTGACACACAATTAGGGAAGGAATGTTCTGGCATTTCTGAGTATTTCATTGAAAGCAAAGTCACCATCCAGGCAGTGGTCACCCACATTTTCTTTTTCCAAACAAAAAGCAAGCTTTTACGTGCAATAACTCATGAAAATAAGTCTTCTCACTCTTGTCTAGGAGACGTCAGCTAAAGAAAACGCACCAGGAGCTGAGAGGGGATGAACTGCCCTCAGGAAGAAGGAACATTTCCTTTAGATGTCCAAGTCCTGCCTCCAGGTTTCCCCCAACAACCAAACTGTGTTATTACACTTGAGTGTATTACAGCCTTGTGTGTCTGGGGACTACATGGAATCTGCTGAGAAGACCAATGATTATAATGCTACCATAATAGAAAGAAAAAGATAAACTGAAAAAGTAAGTCCTCTACAAAGCTCTTTCCACAAAATTCATTTAAGATGGTAGAGTTACCATCAACATTTTGATTCTATTAAGATCACCGGCAAAAGCTTGTTACTCTGAGAAGGGGCTGAAGGGGCTCTGCTTTTGCAGCAGCTGAGGAGTAGACCATGAATGATGGATGCAAAGCCACTGACCCTGTTGAGGCAGACACTAGACTGTCTGGAGTCCACAGGCAGCTTTGGATCCACCATGTGAAAGACAGAAGAAACCTTGCCAATTTCCCCTCAACAATCACTGTAGCAGGCAGGAGTTTAAATCCCTTCAAGTGCTCAAATATACAAAAGCAATCTAGAAAAAAGAAACAAAACATTAAAACAGCATTTTGAATAAATTTACTACACATTACATAACTTGGGAACAACAGAGGCATAAGCCCAAGCACACACAGCCCTAGTATTCCATGTAGAAAAGTACTGCAGAAGAAAAGGTTTAAAAACATTAAAACTCAGGCTCATATACAGTTTTGGTTCTTCTGTGCTACTCAAATAAAAATTTCATCAGATACTCAGTCTGCTAGGTAGCGCATTTGGGTTGTCACTTCTGGCTGTATCAGTACAAGAATATACACTGTTGCATATACTTTAACAGATATGCTTATACATATATAAAAATTCAGATCATGAAAATTTGTTTTAATTAAATACATATCCTTAAAACCTGTGTCTCTAAAAATAAATACATTAAGCTGTTTGCTAGTTCTGAGTTCCCTCACAAGCCAATCAGAACAGTTTTTTTTTTTTTTTTTTTTTTTTACAATGTCAGGGACCATTAGCTGCCTTTTAAACCCACTGTCTATAGTAAACACAGAAGTGAAGCTGCATCACTGAAATATCATCCCCCAGACACCGGTGCAACTGTAACAGTGGAAGCATCATCTTGTCCTCCATGATCAGTCTCTGCAATGCATTTGCATCTATCCAGAGGGAGGACGGCGTTTCTTAGAGACAACATCTTCTTCAGTTGACATTACCTTCCAACTAAAGAAATAAGCCACTATTGCTTCTGACGCTTTGTTTGAGGGAACTAACACAACACCATTTGTGTTTGCTATTGCTCCCAGAGATCACAGTGAGTGGTGTGTGATGATCCCACTGAGGTAAAGCACAAGGGCCCTGGCGTCTGAAAGAAGCGATGTTCTGAGGACTGCAGCACACGAGGGACCTGGGCTCTATTATCTAAGTGCACATAGTAACTCAAAACCACTGCCAGGATGGAACACCAGACATCTGACACTGTGGCTCAAACAAGAGAAACGGTAAAAATACTCAAAGTACTTTCTAAAGAAAGGATATAATTCATTGGGGGGGGGCTGTTACTGTTTTACTTTTACCTCTCACCCACCCACCCAAACACACACACACACACACACCAAAAACAAAACAAAAAACCTTTTTAAAATGGGATAGCCAGACCAAAATGTTTAATGTGCATAATACTTGACCTTGTCATTGTTCAGAATATAGAAAATTCAGAAATATAGGAAATCCATGATAAGTGAGAGCGAGAATTTTTAATGTCACTGTCTACATTTTTAAGAGGAAAACTTAAAATCCAACTTCTAAAAAACTCAATGTGCTCACAGTTTCAGATTGCTAGTTGTGAATCAAATGTAAAGGTATCTGTTCACATACAAACAAGGCCTCTACTTCACTGACTTCAATCTGATTTAAACCTTTGGATATTTCAATCTTCAAACTCCACAAGGTAAGGCTGAATTTATCAGGTATAAATAAAATATTTAGGTCCATGATGCACTGTGGTTCTGAGAAACCAAATGTAACAAATATATACAGGCTGGCTCCACGGCTTCCCTTAAGACACATGTGCCGGTACCAAGCCACACTTGTCTCTTTCACCCTCTGGCTGTGAAAATGAGGCGGCAGCGTTCTTCTCACTCTTCTTTCCTCTTGAGCACGAGGTCAGCAGGACTAGGTTGGCCGGTGCAGTCTCTTGGGTGGTGGGGGTGGCATGAGTTCCGTGTCAGGGTCCAGGTGATATTTCCGTTTCTGTCCTTGGGCAGCTGCCGCACATCTGTCAATGAACTCAAATAGCATCTCCTTTGTGACAGGGTTCGAGATGCTGTTGCACACAGCTGTGGACAAAGGGGACAACATCTCAGGTAGATCACTAAGGCAACTGACTCAACACAGGCTGAGGGTGGTCTCCATGCAGCTCCGGAAAACTCTGGCATTCTACCGTTGGGCTTTAGGTTAGGGGCCTTTCTAGTGCTTAATCTTTGCTGGAGCATTAATTTTAAGCAAAAAATGTTAAGGGATTTTAATCCAGTACAGCACGCCTCATGAAAGTTCCTATTCAACTAAAACTTTGCCACTAAAGTTTTCAAGTCCTTCTCTCAGAAGGATGTTCATTCTGGGAAATACAACAGCAATAGCCACTATTGGGAATAGGGAGGTTTTTTTTTCTTTTCTTTGAGTAATCAAAATTTAGAAGCAATGTTTTTCATTTTCTTTATCTATTTGATTTTTTGGGGGGCTGGGGGAAGACAATGAAATGAACTCACTTTGTCAGAGCACAGAGGCTACTTTAAAAAAAAAAATGAATAAAAGGCCCTGAATGTGAAAGTGTATCTTTTAAGGTGAAAAGCCTGCACTGGCGCTCTCGCGCTCGCTCTCTCTCTCTCTCTCTCTCTCTCTCTCTCTCTCTCTCTCTCTCTCCTCTGCTTCTTGTGATCATCATCACCATCAGCAATGGACACTAGACAAACTCTATTAACCAATCTTCCACTGTCCCTTTTATCGACCTTTTCCATTATGTCTACTATTAGAACACCTTATAAACTCAAATGAATTTGTAGATTTGTGGTGTTCCTCATGAAAACAATAAACTTTTCTAAATCTCTAAGGCATTCAGATTATATCCAAAGAACATTCTGAAGGACAGCAGGGCAGTTTGTATGTTTTAAAATGGTTCTCATTTACTTTCTCTCCATTGTTTGTAAAGTTATTTTAGGAACTGGGAAATTACATTTTCCCTTGCTAATTTTGTTTCTTACCATCTGGCAAATAATGGTTTTAATAGTTTTGAATAGATCAGAAATGATCGTGGTTTTCACTGTTGTTGTCATTCATTAAGTTCAACTAGTGTGTACCCACCTCCCTGCCCTCTTTTGCCCTCGCAGGCACACAGGGCAGCTCCCCAGCTCAAGGAGGACAACTTCCAATTGACTAGAGGTTAGCAAGGTTCTGCCTGACTGTTTACCTCATCAAGCAGGACAGCACCAACCATACATGTGGGTTCTGACGCCATAATACTCTGTAATTTAATGTAATGACTACTGTTCATACTTACCCATGGCTGTGTTGTAGGCATTTGGGAAACTTTTGTCTATTCTCTGTCTCATAAAGACCCAGCTGTTATTCTCAAATTTGCATTCTATAATTTTGTTGTCGTACTGTTTTAGTTCTTTTGTCACCTGTTTTAAGAAAGAATTGATGAAAATATTTAAATCATTTGAAAGGCTTTTTGCTTCCACTATGTGACAGACACATTAGGAAATGCCAAAAACATCTCAGTAGCTCTTCAAGAAGAGCTCTTTGTCATCTGAAGTGTCTAATCAAGCCTGAAGATACAGTGCACACTCCCAGTACACATGCTCATATATCTGACACTTCAGAGTTGTGAAAATGGCTGTCAATATATAGCAATTAAAAGAAGCTAAGCAAAAAAGCTGCCACTTCTGGGCCAAATGCAAATATGTTACCATGGGGACAATGCTTGCAATCCTGTCTGTGTTTCTCTGGCTTTCAGAAACTGAGTATTCTGCTTAAGGTTCATCAACTTTCGGAATGATCTTATCATTTAAATTCCTATGCCAAAGCCCAAGAAACTCTCTTTATTATAGGTAAAAGGACTACACATAAAAAACAAACACTAGAATCAACTTCAGGCAATGTGCTTCCTAAATTTTAATTTTCAGGCAGTGATAATTAACCTAAACCTACTTGTTAGGCTATTTTCCCTTTTCATCTTCCCAGAGAGTATGGATTTGACTTTAGCTGGTGTGTTTCTTGGCGTCTTTACTTCACATGATTGAATATGGATTACAACATACTCTATCAAAGCCACCAAGTCTCCATGGTAACTATGGTAAGTTTTAAAAGATATTCCATCAGGCTGGGAGAATGGTTTTCATAAAAGGAACCTAAGCTTATCTTTGCACTTTTCCAATCAAATGCCAGTCATGGTAATATTTGAATTCCGTCTTCATCCTTCAGAACTAACAACTCTCTCTCACAATATGGTAGATTGTAATCACTAAACTTCATTAACATTATTTGAAATGCTCTCATTTTCTGCCCACATATTCACTACCACCTAGGAAGATGAAGGGATGCAAATTTATAAAAGCTGCTTTCAATTCACAGATTAGGGAGGGTGTGTCGTGATAAAAACTTTCAAACTGCTTCCCTTCCTTCTAAAGGACTTGCTTTTGCTGAATCATTTGCATTTTCAACAGGCTCAGGATGTCCAGCCATCTGGCTCAGTGTGCCCTCAGATAATCCGTACTCTAGTCTCCCTTCTCTGAGTTAGCAGGAGTCCATCTCCTTGTACTTTTGACTCATTACTCATATGCAGGCACTGGGCAACTCATTCAATCTAGGCAACCACTTCCGGGTTATGCCATGTAAGGTTTAACAGAACTTAATTTCTAAGTCTTTCAAAGCCTACATTTTCTAATCTCTAAAAGCAAAGGATTTTCTAATATACTAGGTCATGGGAAGAAAGTGCCTGATACAAAATAGAAAATCAGTAAAAGTATAACTAAATAGAAAGTTTTAAGAAAGCCAACATCCTGTCTAAGCATTTTAAGGGCATAGTTTAGCAGTACTAGACACATTCACTGCTGTATAGTCAACGTTTCCAGCTTGTGCACCTCCTACATATCTAGACTTTCCTATTTTCTGCTTGTGATTTTCTACCCTTTCTACTTTATACATTTCAAATGAGTAGGGCTGCATAGTAATCATGTTTCTAAAGCAGTTTCTTTTGCTTTAGCACAGCATCCTTGGGGTTCATTCATGGGACAGAGTTCCTTTTTAGGTTACATAATATACCATTATAGACATGCATTAAATTTCTTCAGCCATTCATCTGTTGATGGACATTTTTCTACCTCTTTGCTACTGCAGCTAGCACTGTGAGAAAATAAGGGTATGATTATCACTTGGAGAACCTGCTTTAAATTCTTTGGGTATATACCCAGAAGTGAGACTGCTGGATCATATAGTAATTCAAGTTTTTAATTTTCCAAGTAATTTTTATGCTATTATCCAAAATGGCTAAACCATATTGCATTACTGACAGTGCATCCTTTGATGCTGGCCATCCTGACAGGCGCCAGATGTTATGACACTACGGTTCTTGGTTGCATGTGCTTACTGGATGTATACCTTTTCTGGAAAACTATCTATTTAACTCCTTTGCCATTTGGGGAGAGGGGTAGGTGTGTGAAAGGGAGTCCCACTTTGTAGCCATCCTGGCCTCAAACTTGTGATCTTAGTCAAGTGCTGGAATCAGAAGCCTTTGTTCAGATACATTTACGTGTTTTTTTTTTAATTCATTAGCATATGTTAACTATAAAAGTTAACATAATTCAGTTGGAGGTTTGCATCTGTGCACATGACATGTTTGACCATAATTACTTCTTCCATTTCCCTTCCCTTGTTCCCCCAGTGAACTACAGGGTAAGAGATTTTAACCAATTTCCTTTTACTTTGATGCCCCGCCCACTGGATTCCACAGAAAAAAGAAAACTTGTCATGCCTTTTCTACTTACTTGAATATGAATTCATATATATTTAGTTTGAGCAATTTATTATTTTAACAGGGGATATATAACAGAATTGGAAGAAGACAAATTTAATAGATATTAATATTTGAACGACAAAATATTTTAGTTATTTTGTACTCTTTTTTATTTATTTTTGAGTTTGGGTGCCTATATTTCTAATCAAGGATTTGGTGTTGTTGAATTTTCATTAACTCTCATCAGATAATATAATTCTTTTCTTCCATTCTATAGGCCACCTTTCTGCTCTGATGACAAGCAGAGTTTTTAAGTTTGATGTCCTTATTCATTTTCCATTTTGCTGATTGTGATTCTAGTGTCATCCAATAATTACTGCCAGATTTCTTTCCCAAAGTGTTCCTATTTTTGTTTGTTTTGTTTTTTAATCCTTTGATACTCAATTGTTTAAGGTGTTATGCTTCAGTTTTTAATCGAGTTTGGAGTTAATTTCTTACACGGTAGAGGGGCAAGGTCTATCCTCTTTCTTTTGCGGGTTCAGTTTTCTTAGAAGTTTTTATTGAGGAAATCAGCTTTTCCTGCTGTGTAATCATGTTACCTTGTGCAATATCATTTGTCTGTAGGTTGAGGACTTATTTCTGGACTTCCTATTCCACTGACCACTCTAGTTGCTTTTGCTATTGTTTGAGAGAGAGATTTCCTATATAGCTCAGCATGTCCTCAAATTCATGAATTTCCTGTCTCAATCTCCCAAGTACTATGAGATCACAGGTGTGTGCTAGCACATCTGTCTTTTGGAGGTGGGGCTATTTTGTTAGATCCTGTGATCTACCTGTCTTTGTAAGTGATGAAGTGTGACATTTAAACCACTGTAGCTTTGCAGTAGGTGGAAGTCAGGACTCCAACCTTGCTATGTAGAATCCCTGAGAGTTCATATGAATTCTAGCACAACTTTTCCCCTTCTGCAAGAGATAGTTAGGGTTTTGATAAGGTTGCACAGCATCTGAAGGTTGCTGTAAGTTCTATGGATACCCTGATAACATTATCTTCTGATCATATAATGACTCAATAGCTTTCTCCCCTTAGTTGTATCATCTTTTACTTCTTTTAACAAGAAACATTGCTTATTTTCTTTCAGCAACTTTATAAGTAAACTCACGAATAGAATCGTGTTGACATGAAAAGGTACTCTGAAAGCAGCTGTCAACAAAATTATATCTTTGGCATTTTAGAAGAATGTTATCTAGCTTGCTAGTCAACGAGTGGTTCTTTCACTGGCTAGCAACTGGGGGTTAAGTATCATAGAGTATCACTCTTGTGTTCTCAGTTTCAGACTTGTTTTAAATTAAGTGTAGTTTGATCTGACCACATCAATTGAGTAGCATTATTAATTATCTACTACAGCTGCTTGGCCAAGTATTAGAAATCCAGGAAAATCTTTCTAGAAAATGCATGTACCTATTACTACTAACTTTAATTTATGCCCATATTCACCAAGAAATGGTTCTATATACATTATATTCCCACTAGAGACAGGCTTCAAGGTAACATTTGATTGGGTGGTAAATATATTTAACTGGTAAAAATAGTATCTCTCATATATGCACAAACTAAAGTTTCCACTAATGGTCTCATTGAAAAAAAATGAATGAGGTACAGGAGTGACTCAATTTTAGTATCCATATTCATCTTCAGCCAATCACATTACCACTGACTAAAAAGAGGACCCCTGTCGGTCTTCTATAGCAACTCTGTTATCCTAGTTCCAGTTAATGAGTGCTTAATAGTAAAAAGAATAAAATATTTATAAATTAGAATCACACTATACCCATTACTATATTATAAACTGATTTAATAATCTGAATGAGAACACACAATAAAACCTCAAAAGCCATGCTAAGTGTTGGCAACTTGCACAAAGAGGGTGGGAATAGTTCTATTTCTGGTGGTAGGACAGGGGGCCGCAGGTCAGCCGGCTGTATCAAGTGGCTTCTGTTTGCTCTGATGTCATTAAAACAAACAAAATTACCCATATACCAAGAAGGCCATCAGGAGTTTCTACTTTCTTAACATTTAACATGGAATGATTTTAGATTGACAGAAAAGTTGCAAATGTGGTAGGGGGAATTTTCTATTTTCTTCTACTTTCTGCTAACATTTATATTCCATTTATCAGTGTATAGCTACCAACTCTAAAAAAAAATTAACATTGGTATAACATAAAGACTATCAGGACTTCTGTGTCATTATCTATAACAGGACTCAATCCAGAAAACCACCTGGATTTAATTGCCACATACTAGTTTCTCCCAATCTGTAGCAATTACTCAGTCCTCAGTTTTTTCATTACTTACAGGCTGGCCTCTTATCATGGTAACCTCCCACCTGAGTCCCCTCAAGCTCTGGGATTATAGGCCTGCGCCATCACACCCAGTTCCTTGGATACTTAAAGAATGCCAATTAGGAATTTCAAGAATGATGTTCAAAGTAGGACTTTTTCCCATTTGCTCCAGGTAAAGAACTTCTGGGTGTGGCAAGGAGCGCCCTTCTGGTCCTACCCACACTACACTAGCTAACGGTGTTACTGGTGACAGCAACTCTACTTAGTCAGGGTGGTTATTCGCCAGGTTCCTTTCTCTTCTCTATTGACTGGTGTGAGTCATGTG